AAAAAAAAATGCAGCGATTTAATATGCCATATGCGTTAAAAGCATTGCGCTACAAAAGATCGCAACGAAGTTTAGTAGATATTATTGTATATATCAATGGATTAATTTCTCAGTGGTTAATGTTTTCTACATAAAAACTATATTTGAATAGTATATGATATTGTCTTTAGTTATGGAGTATGTGTGATCATTAAATGTTATAAGGAAACCATAATATTTTGAGGAGATAATTGAGTACCAAAAGTAGTTTGCAAAATAAACAATATAACTCATAAAAGCTATAAAAATGAGTTTTTAAAAATGAGAAGATGGCTCTCATTTTTCTTTAAAATTATTTTAATAAATTCGAAAGGCCTTGGTTGTTACTTTAAGAATTGCTAAATTAAGCTACATCTAGATATATTTAGTATTGCTTCAGAAACACCAGAAGTTTCTTTTAAAAATTTTAGGTTCTTTGGATTTGTATGGTAAATGGAAGTATATAAGAAAATTCACTGAAACGGTTCATTTAGCTTTTAATGAATTTAAGTCCCTTTCACGGTCAAGTTTTATTGTATATAGTGCAAAGATATCAATAAATTTAATATATATTCATATAATGCAACTGTCTCCAAGGTGGATCATTGATCCATCTTGAAAGTTGATCTAAACTGACCATGAGCATATGTATTTAATTTTTTGTTTGACGGTTATGGAAAGTTTTAGTCTTAAATATTCAATGACAATAAAAGTGACACTATTTTAATTGTTTACGAAATAGTTGTAGTTTTATGTTCTATGTAGAAAACTGTTTTGGAATGGAATTGGAAGAAATTCTGTTACATTCACTTTTATGAAATTTAATAAAATTAATAATTATATAATTATTAATTAAGAAATAATTATATATCTTAATAAATATAATTAAATATTTCCTAAAACTATTTTGAAATTTTGGCTAAGTTTTAATAAAAGTAAAAATATAACAGTTTATATTTGATCATCATTTATATTTGTTTACTCACTATTGCTATTCATTTCTGATTGTTATGAGAAGTACATACCTTTAATTTATCTATTGTTCATAACATATAATAGACACTTTAGTCTATTATATTATATGTCTCCTTCTTAGTTAACCTGACTTTCATATAACAAGAATACTGCAAGGCGTGCTGTAGTTCGCTGGTGCATAAAAAAACTATCTCCCTCTTTTAATTTTCGTTGTAGTTTTCCTTAACTTTCACAAGAGATTCATTTTTAGAGAAATACTTTTTTAATAGTTTGTCAGACTTTTCATCGGTAAGGACAAAAGATGTATATTAAATCATATAAATTCAATAGCATACGTTTATTTCTTTTTATCGCTTATGGTTCTTTGCGAGGAATATGGTAGTGAAATGGAAAAAATCGCTTACAGTGGCCAACGAAAAGATATGTGATAACCTGCCACCTGCCATTAACTAAACAACCTTCTTGTTGATAATTCAAACTTTCTATATAATCTTTAAATAAGGTGTATAGTATTGCTAAGGTGTGTGTAATCGAATTAAAATATCACACACTTTTTTAAAATGAGTTAAATCAAAAATCTTAATTTTTACTTCAGCGACTCAACTTATGGAATTATGAACAGAACATACCAACCTTTGAGTAATAGCGTCCTTAATTATAGCTGTGCGGACATAATTTTCGCATAAATAAGTAGTTTATTTAATATGCGTACAAGTTGAACTCGAGAAACATTAGCAGGAGCAGAAGCAACAAGAAAACACACGGAGTAGTTGCGCTTGCGTGTTACTCGTCCACACCAGATTCGGCTTCTCGTGGTCATAAAATGATCCTCAGACAGTACCAGTGCCACAATAACATGACTTTTGAAAGCCCTTGTGTGCTATGTTTTGATTTCATGAAGCAAATACCTTCAATTTATGGGACGTCACAGACGTTTAAAAGCAGTAAGGAAACAAAACCTAAAACAAGTCGAAAATTAAATTAATGTTTGGTAATTATTGGTAATTTTTATTTTGCGGTCGAAATTGATTCCTGTCATAACTTATGCAAATTTCTCATTTAGTTTTTTTTTTAAATCTTATGTTAACTTTTATTTTATTTAATTTTTTTTTTTTGTGAATCCATATTTTCATAAATTTATTTGCAGTAAAAGAATTTCTTCGCATATATCTGGTTTATTTCGTAAGCAAATTTTTCTTGTAAACCGAAAAAGTGATTCACCTTCTGTCGTTAATTTTTATAATTTTTATTATGCAAAAAATATGCATAAACTTGTTTATAAATTTTTCCTAAAATATATTTGACATTTTTTGAGGTTGTCACAAATTAAATTTGTTTCTACATCGTACCATTAATTAGAGTCCAACCGTTTTCGTGTCTTCAGAATCTTCTTCGCTCTTTCACGTTATTTGGTTTGCCAGTACGTGTAGTGTGTTGTGTTGTGATGCGGTGTGTAATACACAAAATTTGAAGTGTTTCCAAAAACACCTTCAGAATATGTTTACTAATTAATACAAAATTTTTAAATATCTCTCATATAAAAATGAATGAAGATGATATATTATTCTTTTTGACTTGCACTGCATGAATTTTTAAACTGAAATACTCTTTATGCGGGTACGAAATGCATAATTTGATGATAAAATGCCTTCAAAATAATTGGAATGAATTATAAGGAAAGTTCTTTAATGCTACTTTAAAACAGAATAAATTATAAAATGTTTCAAATTTTAAAAACTTTTTTATAGTCTTTCAAATTTAAAACGATGAAATTGTAAAATTTAAGAACCTTTAGTTTGCAGTTCAGATGTACTTCAAAATTTGATTTCATACATACTGGCATACAGAGGTCTATCATTTCAATTTTAATTATTTATGATTTCCAGCTACCTTGGAATATATTTATTAAAGAAATAAAAGAATATTCTTATGAAAGATTTATATTAGTAATATGTAGCGTTGTCGGTAAGGAAACGTTTGTGAGATTTGGGAATAGATGTCACCACTTGATAATATAAAATACAGATAATGTACTTCAAAAATATTACAATTAAAAAATGTGGTCTTGTATAGGGCTGTCCAGAACAGATGCGATCGCGGGCCAATACAAATCATTTACATTTGTTTTGGAGAAAAATAAAAATGTAGTTTTAATGTTGAATTTAGTTTTATTAATTTATTAATTTAAATTTATTAATTTTGAATAGCATAAATATTGTGGTAGATTAGAAATATGCAGCGGGCCGCAAAACATTAGCCCTGGTCTAGTATAACCCTCTTTTGCCACAATACTGGACAAAAAAAAGATTATTAAATTATAGTGTGAAGATTAAAATTTAAATCTTAAAAATTTGTACTTAAATTCATGATATATGCATGGAAGAATATATGACTTGCGACACTTCTCAATTACAAATTCGTCACTCTCTTTGCCAATTCTGTCTGTGTATTATCCAAAAGGTCTAGTTAACTGCAGTTCTGGACTCTCAAAAAGTGAAGGTATTTTATTTATTTTAAACGTTCAAAAATTTTAAAGCTGCAGAAAATTGGTAAGGTTTATTATAATTATAAATTTGTATATAATTCACGAGCAGTTTGTCTACAGTTATTTATATATTATTGTTAAAAGACAAATAATGCCAATATAATCATGAGGTTTCTTAAATTTCATTAATCGATTGAAGTGTGCGATGTTGAAAAGATAACATGCTTCTTCTTGTAAGTGCATTCATCTTTAAGGCAGATGAGCTAGACAGACGAGGTGCTTCAGGAAACCACACGCAACACCTAAGCAATCTGAGCATATCGCTGATATCATAGAAACTGTTACTGAGTTCTCTCTGTGCAGAAATTTTTAATGAAAAATGGTAAAACTGAACGATAATTCAGCATCTGTATACAATTTGGCATATGTTCCATTAAATGATAATCTAATATTCTCATTGAGATGTTCCTTAAAGATATCACTTCTATAGTTGGCTCACTCACAGGTCATTGCAGATTAGGGAACCATTCTAGAATATTTAATTTTCCTTTTAATTGTGCATGTCGCATTTGTGGAGAGAAGGGTGTCTTGGCTTTGTTGTTATTCAGCATATGCGTGGCACCACCTTACCAATCTAGAGTCCGTCTTTTTTGAAAATTTCAGTCAACTGGAAGATCTCCTGTTTAATAGCATTATAGGCTATGCCAAGGATTGAAGTTGGTTGTAAACTTCTGAGTTTTTTCTTGCAGTTTAACACAAGCGCTTATGGTCTAAGTGGATCCTTTTTGATTGCCGATATAAACTAATCTAATGTATACTTCTTATTCTTACATTTCTTTTGAATACTTAAGAAATATAAATATTTAGTAAATCACTTGTTGCTATGATATACTATTAGTTATTGTTGTAATCTTATAAAGTGTATAACGTAATAATGTAATTCTAAATATTTCCAAATTACCTTACTCAAAAGCACGA